GGATATAATTGCAGTGCTAGTTAAAAGTCACCATCAGGTTGTCATGGAAAAATATCAAAATAAAAATAGATGGAAATTTCCATAATTTATTAAAAGATATCTACAGTAAAATTATGGAAACTGTAGATATTTCTTATAAAAGAAAAGACTGACATGCCTATTATCATCATTTAAAAATTATTCATTTGGTCTTGAGACAGGGTCTTGTTATCTTCTTTAAAATTAATTAATTTTTTATTAATTACAGTTTATTCACTCTGTATCCCAGCTTTAACCCCCTCCCTCATTCCCTCCCAATCCCATCCTCCCTCCCTCATCTCCTCCCTGCCCCTTCCCCAGTCCACTGATAGGGGAGATCCTCCTCCCCTTCCATCTGACCCTAGCCTATCAGGTCTCATCAGGACAGGCTGCATTGTCTTCCTCTGTGGCTTGGTAAGGCTGCACCTACCTGGGGGGGAGGTGATCAAAGAGCAGGCCAATCAGTTCATGTCAGACACAGTCCCTGTTCCCATTACTAGGGAACCCACTTGGACACTGAGCTGCCATGGGCTACCTCTGTGCAGGGGTTCTAGGTTATCTCCATGAATGGTTGGAGTATCAGTCAACACAGGTTCTTGTTATATAACCTAGGTTGGCCTTGAATTTAAAATCCTGCTGTATCAGCCTTTCCAGTGCTGAGATAACAGGTGAGAGGCAGCACTCTCCAGTTCCCTTTATCACTTTTTTCTATTTATTTATTTATTTTTACAATTTATTCATTTTATATCCTGATTGTATCCCCTTCCTTCATCTCCTTCTGGTCCCACTCTTCATCCCTCTTTCCCCCTACCCCCTCTCCTAGTTCACCGAAACAGAGAGTCCTCCTCCCCTACCATCTGACCCCAGAGTTTCAAGTCCTATTAGGACTCCCTGCATCATTTACCTCTGTGGCTTGGCAAGGCCAAGTGATCAAAGAGCAGGCAGCTATGTTCATGTCTAAGATAGCTGCCTGCTCCCCTTTCTAGGGGATCCCCATGGAGAGTGAGATGCATGGCTGGTGCATCAGTCTCTGCAGGACCCCCTGGGCCCAGAGTGTCTGGCTTTGTTGGTCTCCTTGTGGAGCCCCTGTGCTCCCCTCCCAGCATTGTTTCCCCCAGAACATTCTGCCCCCCCCAAACTCTTTCACAAGATTCCCGAGCTCCACCTAATGTTTGGCCGTGGGTCTCAGCATTTGTTTTGATCCGCTCCTGGGTGAAGCCTCTCAGACAGCAGCTATGCTAGGCTCCTGTCTGCAAGCATAGAAGAGTATAATTAATAGTGTCAGGGGTTGGCTCTCTCCCATGGGGGGAGTCTCAGGTTAGGCCAGTCATTGGTTGGCCATTCCCTCAATCTCTGCTCCATCTTTATCCCTGCCTGCCTTATATGCAGGATTAATTTTGGGTCAAGGGTTTTATGCATGGGTTGGTGTCCCCCTCCTTCTTCTGGAAGTCCTGCCTGGCTAGGAGGTAGTATATTCAGTCTTCATGTCCCCCACAGCTAGGTGTCTCAGCTAAAGTCACTCCCATATCCTCCTAGAAGCCTACCCTTGACTGTCTTGTCTGGCCTCAGTGGAAAAGGATGCACTTAGTCCTGATGAGAATTGATGTGCCAGGGTGGGTTTGTATGGGGGATGGGAAAGGGGCTCCCTTTTACTGAAGAGAACAGAAGTGAAGGGAGGAAGAGGGTAGGAAGGTAGAATCAGGTAGAAAGGAGGGAGGGGCCTGCGATCAGGATGTAAAATGAATAAATAAATACATTTAATTACAAACAAACAAATAAAGTCAGACTTGGGGTTGGAGAGCTAGCCCAGTGCTTAAGAGCACTGGCTGTTATGGCAGAGGACCTGGGTTCAATTTCCAAAACTTAAATCATGGCTCATAACAATCTGTAATATCAGTCCCAGGTGATTGACACCCTCTTTTGGCTTCCAGAGGCACCAGATTCAGGTGCTATACCGATATGCCATGGAGGAAATAACAGTGGTGCACATAAAAGAAAAAATAAATAAGTATTTAAAAATTCAATTCCGCTTTAGAGCATGCATGTTCGGTCGCTATGCGTGGCTAGAAAAGAAGAGTAAATGTACTGAAAGGCGGAAACAAAGCTGTTAATCCTGTTCATGATCAAGTAAATTTGCTTTCTCCTATTATTAATGTTTACTAAGGAACGTAACACAACCCTATGCTACTCTCTTGATGCTTGAAGTTTCGTTGTATAAAACTGTGATATGGCTTTGTGTGTTCATGAATTCGTGTGTGTGTGTGTGTGTGTGTGTGTGTGTGTGTGTGTGTGTGTTTGAGACTTGTGGCACTTCTCTTGCCTCAGCTCCTGAGTGCTAGGATTTGAAGATTTTACCTATATTCATTTAAGGATTCCATTTTAAATGATCTCAGTGTTTTACAACTTAAAATTTGGGGCAATTTTCAGTGAAATCAATAAAATTGAATAATGATTTTAAAGAGCATAATCAGGTATGGATCTGGATTTATGTTATTTCTTCAGCAGCTCTCAAGATAGTGAGTGAAATGTGTCATGGGTCTTCCCACATTTTTGTTTCCTGTCTCTAAGGGATCACTATGTTTGTTGCCTAATTTTCTTGTGTTTCCAAAACTATTCATATATGTTTTGTTCCAGTATCATGGAAATTATTGCTTCATATGTTTTTCTATGTTTGATTGCTTCAGCTGGGTGAGGACGTGTGTTCTTTATTACTCTGCTTTGTCTGGAAGTTGAGTCAGTTTATTTAAATGGCTTCATCACTTCTTGAGCAGTCTTTTTTGATAACAGCACTGTTTATTCTAGTGCAGTTATCTGGATTTTTTTTTTCAAAAGGTGTACAAATTTTGCTTGTTTGTTTTGTTTAAAAGTAACTGGTAATAATTTAAAGGCCTGACCTGTGAGGCCCTGTACATTAGGGACCCTGAGACAGGTTATCCTTATGGCTGTAAACATTTTCTCCTGCTATATGCTTATACTGATTCCTGTTCAGCCTGTAGACTTATGACCCACTGATGTGTTTAACAAATTGTAATAAAAGGCAGACCCCAGGTGGGCACATTTGGTTGTATGATATCCATGCACTAGCCAAGAATAAACATTTCTGTGACATTATTCTGAGTTACATCTGTGGAAAGCACTAAGCTCCATCTTTTGCCTTGTCTGATCCAGAAAGGCTGAAAATGGTATGAAATGACAAGAATATTTATGCTCTTGATGTATTACTATTACTTCTTTTTAAAATAATGATACCTTAAATTCTATGATTTCATTCAAAATGTTTTGATCATATTTCCTCCCATTCCTCCCTGATCTATCTCATTCCCTTCATTTCACGTATCCCCTCTTTTTAATAACTCAGTAAGCTTAATGCGTTCTGTCCAGATGCTTATGGGTGTGGGGCTATCCACTGGAACATGGTGGACCTACTAACTGCCACATATTATGGGGTCAGGTTCTCCATCCTCCAGAAGCCATCTACTACCATCAACTGCTCTTCACGAGCAAGCCCCTCCCCTGACCTCCTCCCCGATGCTGGAATGTTGACTGCCTTGGCTGCTGTGAGTTTGTGAATATAGTGGCCCTTTCATGTCTAGAAGATGCCATTTTGCTCCAGTTCTCCCCAACCTCTGGCTCTTAGTCTTTTCTGTCTTCTCTTCTGTTATGGTCCCTGAGCCTTGTGGAGGGCTCTTGTTTTTAAGGCACAGGACATTGTCTAGTATTGGCGCAGTTATAACAGACTTCTGAATAAACTATGTACTGTTACATAGTAGTTTGTAAAGATTCTGGTTTAACTTACCACTGTATGGTTCTAAACTCATTTCTTGCATGTGGTCATAGATTTTGTTATAATTCCATAGCAGCTGTTTATTTGCACTGTTAAGTTAGAATTCAGATGTTCTTGGCATCCTCATATTTTTCTGTAACACATAAAATTAAAGAAAATGTTAGACTTCAACTTCTTTCAAAAGATCCTTCAGATGTGGCCCGATTATTTTAGAAACACATTTAATTATCTTTTGATAATAACAAACAGAGCAAGAGAGAGAAGAAAAGAAAGAAATCTTTGAAATAAGTATAGTCAACCCACTAGCTTTGTTTTCTTCTACTGCTGGTCATTCTATTTCCATAGGGCCCCCTCCCTTTCTGCAGCCTATGCACTAAGCTAATGAGCAGTGACAACCTGAAGCAAGTGAGAAATAGAAGACCCCAAAGAAGGTTCTTTCTGGCCCAATTTATTTGAACCTGTTTTATTTAAAACCGAGTAACTAGCACCAGAATAAAGACTCCACCATATTTTGCATGCTAAATTCAGTCTTTTGGTTAAAAAAAGAAAGGTTTCTTTACTGTTTATCCTATCTTGATCATCACCACTTATGTAAATACTTGAATTTGGGGTAACATGAAGATGAAAAGGGAATTGGAATTAGCATGCATTCTTTTTCCATTGGAGTATATTCGTTGTATGTTGTATGACCATTTCTTTCCTTCAAATGTGGCATGTTCTTTGACCATGTTCGCCCCTCCTCCCCTTCTTTCCTGTTAGTCCTCTTCCCTTTCACCCCTTCTGTGGTGCCGTGCTCTTCCTTTAGTTTCTTTTCTACTTCCATGGCTTTATATATCTATATACAGTCTAGAATCTATAAATGAGAAAAAAAAAACTTAGTCTGACTTATTTCACTTAATAAGATGATCTTTAGTTGCACGTATTTCACAGCATAAGATATTTTTCTTTATTGTTGAATAAGACTCCATTGTGTGTATACACCAGTTTCGTTATCCATTTACCTGCTGGTGGATACCTTGGCTTATAATAGAATTTTGGTATTGTAAATACTGTAAACTTAGTAAAAAAAAAAATAAGCCTTCAAAGGGATTTAAAAAACTTAAACATGTTAAATGCCATCACTATTATTAGTTGAAAACATTCTTTTGCCTTTTTATGGAAAGGTGGTTCTTAACGGTATTTTTTTTTTCTTTTTTAGCTACTAACTCAGGATTGCTCCCCCCACCACCGGCACTTCCTCCAAGACCATGTCCAACACAGGTAGGTGACATATTTGATCTCTGCACACTGTTGTCCTACTACTATGCTGCTTTGCAAGGATTGATTCCCCACATTGGAGTGGTCAGCTCATTCCTGGATTAAGAAAACAGAGAGCAGTTTATTCCTCCTCCTTCAGATAGCCTCACGGCCTCATGTGAAAAGGAGAGTTCCTTTAGGAAGCTCACGGCCACACTTCCAGTTTTGGTTCTTTTTTTTTTTTTTTCTTTTTTTATTATTTTTTTCTTTTTAGTTACATTTTGTTAACTCTGTGTCCCAGCTGTATCCCGCTCCCTCATTCCCTCCCCAACCCCACACTCCCTCCCTGGTCTCCTCCCTGCCCCTTTCCAAGTCCACTGATAGGGGAGGACCTCCTCCCCTTTCATCTGACCCTGTTTTATCAGGTATCTTCAGGGCTGGCTGCAAAGTTCTCCTCTGTGGCCTAACAGACTGCTCCTCCCCTGGGGGGGGGGTTCTTAACAGCTGTGTGTGATTGCTCTACACAAAGAGCTGCAGAAGGAGGGTGTCTGTAATTGGGATCAGGGGAAACGAGTGCTCCATATAGTACATGCAGCCCGGGTGTCCATATGTTCACTGGCAGTTTAAGAGCTCTGTTAATTCCACGTTTACTGAAAATAAGTGACCATTAGCATGGTGTTAGTGTTGGGGTTTTGGTCCATAGCACGTTTTCTCTTTTTTGTTTTGTTTGATACAGGGTTGCTCTGTGTAACAGCACTGCTGGCTATGCTAGACTTGTTTTGTAGACCAGCCTGGCCTTGAACTCATAGAGATCTGCCTGCCTCTGCCTCCATGAGTGCAGGGATTACCTATAGTACTTTCTTTTTTTTTAACATTTTATTTTTTATTTTTTTTTCTTATCAGTTACATTTTATTAACTCTGTATCTCAGCCATGTCCCGATCCCTCATTCCCTCCCAGTCCCTCCCTCCCTCCCTCCTCTCCACCGTGCCCCTTGCCAAGGCCACTGATAGGGGGGACTTCCTCCCCATTCATCTGATCCTGTTTTATCGGGTATCTTCAGGACTGGCTGCAAAGCCCTCCTCTGTGGCCTAACAGGACTGCTCCTCCCTTGGGGGGTGGGGAGGCCAAAGAGCCAGTCATTGAGTTCCTGTTAGAAATAGTCCTTGTTCCCCTCACTATGGGAAACCAATAGTACTTTCTTAAGGATGCTCTTTTTCCACTCAGATTAATTAATTTAAAGAGCTCTAAAGGAAGAATGTGTATTCAGCATCTGTTTTACCTGTAAATTCGTTGTGCCACTTTTGCCTGTGCTACCATGTCTTTCCCCATCAAAATTTGAAAATAAGAATGGGCAGCAAATCCATGTACTAGTGTTTATAGTGCTGTCAGTAATTCATTATTACTACTGAGGAAACTTCTTTCTTTAAAGAGCCATTCTAGCTGTTGGTGAAAAATGTTGGGAAATGATGCTACAGAGAGTCACGGTTTCTATTTTGCTGCTCTGTGTGGATCAGGTCATCCTTTTCTATGTGGCAACTGTTGGGATCAGTCTTGGAAGCCATTTGTAACATTTGCTTGTCCTTTCTTCAGACAATTACATGGTCTTTAGCAACTACTCAGTCAGGAGATACAAATTCCATGAGGTATTGGCTTCTTGCTTCAGTCTGAAGGGTAATAAAGAGCCCAGTTATTCCTGAGCTGCATATAAACAAGTGAGAGCTCCCTTTTCAGAATTCAGCACTAGCTTTAAGAGAAATGGATCTATTAAGAAGTGGTAATTGAGTCCCTGCTGTTTGTCTAATGCCAAACCTTAGTTCTATCCCAAGTGTTTCCTTTGTTGTAATTCGTTCTCATTCAGAAGTATTAGCTGTGTTAATTGAGCATCTGCATCAGACCAGACATTGCACTAGTTACTTTTAATGCATAATTTCATCCCCCAAACCTTATGAAATAAATACTAATATTGTTCTTTTTTTATTGTCAAGGAAATCGGAGCATGCCAGGGTTAAGCAAGTTACTAAGGGTCCATAGCTAGTAAATGGTAGATCTCCGTCCAAACTAAAGTCTCCGCACCCTCTAGTTCTCTCAATCCTGGGAGTCTAAGTATCTATATGTACATCAAGACAGACAGTGGAACTGTTGTGCTTGCTTGTAACTGAGACTTTCTGCACATCTGCCTGTAAAAGGCAAAAAAAAGTTGAGAGTCCTACTTTGTACCAACAGCAAACCTGGACTTGGTCACAGAAGCATTAGCAAGAATTCTGGTATGCTTATCTGGAAAGCACTGCTGCTACTAGGTAGAACTGACATCTGAGCTGGTTGCCCAGAGCATCTTGCCTGCTAGGGACTTAGTGATGGAGGTTTTTGACAGGGAGACTTGGAATTCTCAAGTCGATATTAATGAATAAGTCTGTTCCCTTGTCTATCAGATCTCCCAGACCAGTGTAAGTTCTGAGTCCAGCATTCAGCCCTAACTTTCGGATTTCAAACTAGAGAAGCAGGTGTGTAAGGAATGAAGGTAGAAAAATTCTAGACCACTTCCCTCCTCTTACTCCCCTTTGTTCACTGTAAATGAGACACATCTATGTAATATATAAAATCCTGGGTAATAAGCATGTGGTTGTGTTTAGTTTTGTGCCATGCCAAACTAGAAACAGCTAAAAAGCCATCTGCATGTGACATCACAGTGTTTCTAAAGCTACTTGGGATGAAACAATCTGGGAGATATTAATAGGGCTTTGTGGTAAGATGAATTTGCAAGCTGCTTTGCCTAACTCCTCTAGGAGATCGACAGTACACACAAACCCACTAAAGTGTTTGAACTCCTATAGCAAAGCACAAAACAAAGATCGGTTTTGTTAAAGCTGACAGTCTCCTAGCTTTTCCAACCATCATTTTATTTCTAAAACACTTATTAATGTTCCAAAGGCTTAGTGGTTAGGAAATACTAGAACACCTACCTTAAAGTCCTGCTTTGAATGCTGCCAAATTGCTCTCATCTGCTACCACGTTTCTTCATTATGTGATTATAGTTACATTCTACATGGTAAACTAATAGCCTCTCTTGAAGAATTGAAAGTGAAAGCTGATTGTTACAGGCATTGGCTTGAACTTTCAAATCATCCAGGTTTTCAGTTTCTTTCATTTTCTTCTTCACTTCTCTGCTCCTTCTTGTTCACTCTCTCATGAGATCATTTTTATCACCTCATAGCAGATTTAGGCAACTTAAACATTTCTGAATTTTTCTTTTACTCTGTTAAATGGTTTTGAATTTTTTTTTTCTGTAAATGGACCATCAATCTGACCTTGGAAATATATCCTGACTATGGAAACATATCCGTAGAGTCTTTTATGAAGTTTGGACAGCAGTAGCACCACCAGGCACCTAAAGGAGAAGGCAGTGGGCTTGGTATAATTTAAATGAATCCATTTATTAGTAGCTCTAAATGAGATTTAAAATTTCCTAGATTATTTTTGGATTTAAAATTTTTGTTACATAATATGAGTAAGACAAGACTGCAACCAACAAGAAAATGTTTTATCTTCTACAAAGGAATACTATCTTTAAAAACATGGAGTAAAATGCTTCCATGTTCTCAGTATGTTCTATATAGAACAAAAGTGTATGTAGGGCTGGGGACGTAGCTCAGTAGTGTACTACTTGGTTGGCATATACAAAGGTCCTAGGCTCTACCCTCAGCACTGCCAAACAAAACCCAAAACAAAAGAAAACAAAAAAACCTGAAAGTACTTTAATCATTTGTGAGAGATGAAGTACGGTTTTTCAGCATAAAGTGCCCTTTATCTGGCTCTTCTTACACCAAGTACCATACTGATATGAAAATCTGGTTTAGGGTTATGCATATGGGGCTCCAGAGTTAGAAAAGGGACTAAATTCAAAGAAATAACTCTCATATTTTTCCAAGTATTAAGTACTAAGTGAAGAATGAATTGTACGCTTTGGTTCCTCATTTTCCTGAAACCAGGGCAAGACCCAGTCCAGGATGTGTTTTATTTTTATTTAATATTGAAAAGATTTATTCATAGCATAAATAATCAAAAGGCAATTAGAGTAAACTATTTCACACAGAACAGTGTTGAGTAAAGTTAAATTTGTTAGCTCACATATAAATTAAGAAAAACGCCATCCATAGAGTTTGCGTTTGCCATATGGGTCAATACTCTGATAAGGGGTTATCATTGTTTTAGTAGCTAAGTATCGAGCTCATGCCAGTTTTCTTAATGGAAATTGTACTAGAGCCACCACATTTATATGACTGTTTACTAAGGAAAATTTACTAAGGAGTATTTACTAAGGAAAAATTTTTGTGTCTATCAAATATTATCTTTTAGGCTTTGTATCAGTATCATAGTTGATGTGTTAAGGCTTCCCCTAGATGAATTGCCTCGGATCTTGCCTTTTTGTAACACTCATTTCCCTTCTTCTCACACCAAATGCTCCCTTATGGCTGGGTTTTGATTACTAAAATAGCACTGGAAGTGAAGGCATGAAGGAAAGAGTGCCCTCTTAATGCCTTTTACCTCCAGACTAAGAAGACTCATGCAATGAGGAGGGTGAACAATGAAGTAACCATTGAAGAAATGGGAGAACCTTTCTGTTTAAAGTAGCTGAAGGGTACAGAGCTGTACTGTAGAGGAAAATCCCAGTGCCAAAGAAACAGCTGTTTAGGAGGTCCCAGGACAGTCATGGGACTACCCAGGATTCAGGAAGACAGATTTCAGGGAAGAGAGCTCCAGTCGGTATTCTGGAGGGGACGATGAGGAGCGCTCCTACTGCTTACCAAGCTATGGGGGAGCAGTAGTTCTTGAAGGAGAGAGTTCTGTCTAGACACGGTGAGGGAGAGCCTAGTATTACAATTTTTTTCAATGAACCCATCTTTAGCAATGCTAGACCTATTTCTAAGAGAATAACATGGAACTTGGGGTTAGATTTCAGTGGTGGATCACTTGTTTAGCCTGTGCAAGGCCCTCGGATCCATGCCAACAACGTTCAAAACGAAA